CCCCAAAACCCCAAAACCCCAAAACCCCAAAACCCCTTTTAAATATTTTATTTAAAATATAATTATTTGAGATGTCAAATAATATAAAAGTCACTCCTGAAAGCGACTCTCAGTCATTCAAGAGTGAGGAAAGAGCCTTCGAAACCAAGCAGAATGAATTTGAAAGTAAGGATACTTCGGAAATTTCAGAAATACCTCTGGTGCTGACTTATAAAGATAACACTGAATATTACTGTTCGAAAAATTCAAACTTTTTGTTAAGATAATTTTAAAATAAAAACTGAAATTTCTGTTAATAAATTTGATGAATTGAGGACATGAAAAAGCTTTTAGAATATTAATGTTAACCAACATAGGCGAGTGGAATGAAAGAGGCGAGGAAGAAAAGTCAGTCCTCTTGAAACTTGAAGAGCAACTCGGCTATACACCAGCTGATTATGATAAAGGAATCTTATATAGAGAGGATAACAATGTTAGAAAACTTGATGGAGCTAAATACTCTCTTCTAGATACTGATATTTTTGAATTTGGGAGATATGGAGTTGGTCTATATCTCTACATGCTCTATATCAAACATATTATTATAGTGTTTGCTATCATGACTATTATTGCTATTCCTGCTTTCGTATCTAATATCGGTGGAGGTTATTATGAAAGCAGGAACTTCTCAATCCTAGGATTCACAATGCTAGGAAACCAAGAAGGATTTGAAGAAGGAACTCAGCTCACTGACGGCATAGAAGCCCACCTAAACAATGATACTAATAGATATTTAGTCATCTACAGTGACCTTGTAAATACAATTTTTTTCTTTCTCTTCGTCTACTACCTAAAATACATCGGAGCAGTTGCTATAAAGGAAGCGTTGCACAAGACCCAGACTCCTTCTGATTACACCCTCTATGTTACTGGATTGCCGAACGAATATCAGACATTTAAGATGATCAGAGCTGAAGATGGAAAAGAAATCACAGAAAAGTACATAAGTAAATTCTTCTTTTACCTAAACTTTAGTAACTGAAAAAGATGTTGAAGAGCATTTTGCCCAATATGGAAAAATTGTTGAGATCACCTTTGCCAGAAAATTTGGAAAAATGATGAAAATCTACAAGAAGCAAGATCTGCTCAATAAGAAAATCTTTAAAAGAGAAGCTAAGATTAGAGTAATGGCTGAGGATCAAGGAAAGGATCCTGATAAAGAAGTCACTGTTGATTCAGTCCTTCAGAAATTGGTGTTACAAGATAGACAAATGGAGAAGGATATTAGGAGTAATTATCCTAAGATTAGGTCTTATGATGACTTCCATGCCTTTGCAGCCTTTGTTGTCTTTGATGATGTACTTGCATGCAATAAATGCTTCCTTGACTATAAAGTTAGTAACAGAATTCTGTACCAAAACAGACTGAAGTTTCTCGACAAATATCAAATAAAATGCAAGTATGCAGATGATCCTGTAAATATCAATTGGGATAACCTGGAGGTCAGTAGGCTTGAAAACTTCTGGAGATCAGCACTGACTATAGCCTTTGCTGCAGTAAGTTTTGAATTAGATAATCTATTCTAGTGTTTATTATTCATCACATTCTTAGTAGTATATGCTATGAGATCATTCCTCAACTCCCTTGCCGATCCTGATAATTGAGGTAATTATGAGCTTTTCAACACAAACACTGTTGATAGAGGAAATGAGGAAGCCGTAACATGAGTCTGAATTAATGAAGGATTTATATCTGTTCTTTTCGATACAAGTAAGCATGACGTTTGAGGAAATTACATCAGAGATTATATCCTCAGAACAGTCATCACCATTTCAGTATCCTTTATTGTATCAATGATCAATTTTATGATCAAAATAGTCTTCAGAACTCTTGCTAAGTTTGAAAGATACAAAAGCTTGACGCATGAGACAGGCTCTATTTTTAGGAAGTTATTTGTGTCAATATTCATCAATATGGCCATACTATTGTTGCTCATAAATGCTAACTTCCAAAGCATAAAGTTTGTCAAAGATGTCTCAGATTGGCTACCTATTGGAGGGGAGCTTTTCTTTAATGGAAGATACGATGATTTGAGCAGAGAATGGTATCCAAGAGTTGGCCTTGCCTTCTGAGTGCTGATTCTTTCAACAATTTTCTCGAATCTTTTCAGTTCAGGAATGTGGGAGGGAATCAGATGGTACAAAAGAACCATAAAAGCTAAGAGGCAAATTCTTCAATGTGATATGAATGTCAATATGCTTGGAGGAGTTTTTGAGATGGATGCTAAATATGGAATGTCGTTGGCTCTAATATTTTTAGCTCATTTATACTTTGGAGCAATCCCTCTATTGTGCCCAATCATGTCAATTTATTTCTTTGTCCAATTTTGGTTAGATAAATTATATATTACTAAATTTGCAAGAAAGCCTCCACACTATCAGAAAAATCTTCACAACACCATGATTTCAATAATCCCATACAGTACATTTCTCCACTGCGCTTTCTCTCTATGGGCATATGGGAACCCAGAAATATGGCCTTCAAAAGTTGAAGCCAGGGTCGAAAACGGTATCACTCGCTACTACCCAGAAGACAGGTCCTTCTCCGAAAGAATCTTCAATGAAAACTCAATGCCTCACTTCATTCTCCTCTGCACTTTGGTCACAATCTACATCCTGGAATTGTTCTCCGAAAACTGCATTCTAAAACTCTTCAGAAAGTGTCTCTTCAAAAAGGACAAACTAGGTCCAAGTATTCCCTATTCTAACCTTCTAGACTCCGCCATCAACATGGAACAAAAGACCTTCACAAAAATGCGGACAAGGATGGCCAAATTCAGCCAGACCAGCTACGACCCTGAACTAAACGACGCCTACGCTAAAATTCTCCTTGCAATGAAAGATGTCGCTATCATAAAGAAGGATATCGACCCTGAAGCCCTTCCCAAGGCAGATAAAGACTCCAAGCTGAAGAAGGTCAAGACTTCAGAAATTGCTTATAAAGAGTACAAGAAAAAGAAGCAAATGAAGTAAGCTTAGTCCGACTTATGTTTAGGAAGAAAATTCAAGATGGTACTAAAATTAGGATTTTTAGAAATGTTTGAAAAAAATTTTAAAAATTTTTGATTTTTATAAGGATTAGTGGAGATTTTGAGTGGAGTTATTGGATTTAGAGAAATTGAAGGGGAAGGATATGGAATTTGATCCGAAGGAGTAAGGTGAAAGGGTCATTTTTAGGGAGAAAAAGGGATCGGAAACTAGCAGAGATGATGATAGTGAGGTAAGGATTGGCATAATTTGGCAGGACCCTTTGACTAAGAAGCCTCAGAGGCATAGAAAATTGCCTAAAATAGAGAAGAAGAAGAATAGAAAAGATAAAAAGAATAAGAATAAGAATTCGAATAAACCAAAGAAAACTCCATCAAAGCCAAAGAAGAATGCGAGGCGCTAAAACATAAAATTTAGAAATAAAAAGGTTTAGAAAGAATTAGTCATTATGAGAATTTTCATTAGAGTCATGGCAGTTTTACTCAAAAGATAGATACATCCAGAGCTTTTGGGTATATCAAACAGGGAGATTTGAAGGGGAATAAATACTTTTTGATACTTTCAAAAAATTTAGAAGTAAATGGGGTTTTGGGGTTTTGGGGTTTTGGGG